GGGGGACACGGGGAACACCAGCACGAGGAATACAGGGGACCCCCAGCACTGGGGGATGTGGGGGACATCAGCATGGGGGATGTGGGGGACCCCAGTATTGGGGGACATCAGCTTGGGGGATGTAGGGGACCCTGGCATTGGGGGACATAGGGGATGTGGGGGACCCCAGCACTGAGGGACACAGGAGACGTCAGCACAGGGGACACAAGGGTCCTTAGCACCAGGATGGAGGATGTGGGGGACCCCAGCACAAAGATGTGGGGGACCCCAGCACTGGGGGACAGGGGACACATCAGTGCAGAGGACTTGGGGGACCCCAGCATCCACACCCCAACTCCCCTTTGCTCTCAGGTGCCTCCAGAGAAGGCGAAGCCGGAGGCGGCACCCAGCACAGAAGACACGAGGGACACCCCGGAGCGGGGCCGGGGGGCAGAGGGATGTCCCAGCCCCACGGCGCCGACCCCCAGCCCCGCCAGGGAGTGCCCCAGCCCCTGCCGGACCCACAGCGAAACCTACAAGCGCCTTTTCTCCAACTTCTACTCCAAAGGCAACCACCCCATCATGTCCCCGCTGGCCAAGAAGAAGCTGCTGGCCCAGGTGAGCAAGGCCGAGGCCTTGCACTGCCACAAACGCCACTGCCCCCAGGGCCAGCCCTCGACGAGCGACGCTGGCCCCCGTTCCAGCCCCGAGCCCCCCCGGTTGGCCACCGGCCCCCACCTGGATGAGGAGAGAAGCCCGGAGCCACCGGGAGCTCGGGATTCAGCTCCGAGTGTGGGGAGCGAGGTGGGACCCACAGCCATGGGGAGGGACAGCCCACGGGCCGAGGAAGGGGGTCCGGGGGCCACCGTCTTCACCGGCTGCTTCCACGCCTACCACCACGAGGTGCTGAAGCCCGTGGGCTGCCACCCCCTCTGGGGGTATTTCTCCAGCTTGAAGGATTTTTTGGAACCACCTGCCACCTTCCCGGGGCGACCCGAGGAGCCGGAGCAACCCCAAGACCTGCGGAGCAAAGGGGGGCAGTCGTGGAGCGGGGAGAGGCGGCGAGGGGACGCCTGTGCCACCGTCAAAGCCTGCTGGGTGGCCCCCGGGGCTACCTTCAGCCCCGCTGTGGCCAGGGGCAAGCGTGGCCGGGAAGAGGAGGAAGGGGCTTTCGGCCCCGGTGCCAAGCTACGTGCCATCTCCCCCTTCGATGGCAGGGACCCGGGGGCCAGCTCGCCCCGTGGCCAACAAGGGCTGGCCAAACCCAAGGCGGTGGTGGCCAGCCCTGGCTACGCCGTGTCGTTGCCGCAAGCCCCGGACGTTTATAAAGGAGCCATGTTGCATTTCCCGGCAAGTTTTGGCAACCCATTGGAGCACCTCAAAACCCAGGGGGTGCCCGTGGCCCCCTCCCTCACCACCAACCCCTTCATCATCCCCGCTTTCCCTAGCCCTTTGGTAGCCACCTCCACACAACCTTCCGACCTGTGCCGGCCGCTGGCGACCGGCCCCGGCCACTACCCGGCCTCCTACGAGAGCTCGTTGCGGCACCGGCTCTACCCGGGGGGGACGTGGCACCCCCAGAACCCCTATGGCACCCCACACGTGCCCACCTTCCACCGCCACGCCAAGCTGTAGCGCTCCCCTCCTGGAGAAGAAGCCCCTCAGGACGTCGTGGTGGCCAAAGTGGGCAACCAGGAGCACGTCAAGACCATGAGGAGACAATCTGGACCGTGCCCTTTTTAACTCTTGTTTGTATCCGACATGGTTACACTGGTGACTTAACTATCAATATCATAAGGTTATATATATATATATTTTATATATATATACATACACGTTTAAAAAAAAAAAAAAAAAAAATAAAAAAAAGGGAGCAAAATGACTCGTGGAGGTTTCTCTTTTGCTGGTTGTTCCTGCAGGGAGGAGGCTGAGGTGGGTGATGGTTATTCCAACCCCGCCGTGCCCAGGATGCTCACGGGGGCTGGCTCACACCACACGCTGCAATTTGGGGTTTTTTTTAATTACGTTGCCTCCGTTTGGGGCTCCAGAGGGGTTTTTTTCCATAATTTCAGGGGTTTGGGACTGTGGCTCCTGGCAGCTCTGCACCCCCAGGAGTTGAAACCAGGGGCCGAGGCAGCGCCCGAAATAAAACCGGTCCCAACCGTGCGGTGTTTGGGGTGTCCTTAATTTCTGGGGGTCGGGGGCAGGATTTTTGGGGGCATCCTCACCCTGAGCACGGAAGCCCCAAAGGCGTTTTGTGATGCCACGTGGATGGGTTGAGACCTACCTGCGGGGCTGCCCCGATGCCGTGGGGAAGGAGGTGCTTTTCTGCATGGATTTTGGGGGTGGAATCGCAACCGTTTCCAAGCACAAACCAGCCCAAGTGACATCTCCGGGGGCTTTTGGTGCCTCTGGGAGCTCCTGCTGATGACCCAAGGGCTTCGTGGGAGCCACAGGATTCACTTTTCTCATGCCAGCTGCTCCCCACAAGCGCCTCCGCTCGCTGCCATCCTGGGCACCTCATCACGAGCCGAAGCGGAAAGGGCAGGGGGACGGTGGCACTCGCTGGTCCCCAGAGAGAGTCATAGCTTCAGGTGGAGCTGGAGCAGTAAATTGGCTTTTAAGGACCATCCCTGCTGTATCCATGGGAAGGAAGAACTTTGGGATAAGAACTGGAAAAGGAGAATTATCCCTGGTCGTTCCACGATGAGATTTATCCAGAAGAACATCCTTACGGACCCAACCGCTCCAGGATCCTCCAAGCCTGGAGATGGGGAAGGTGTCACACACGCTGCGGAGCGCCCCGGCTGTACCCCGAGATCTTCATTGCCAAAACACACCCCATTAAGCCCAGTTTGTGAGCGAGGAGGAGGAGGAGGAGTCTTGGAGGAGCCGTGGAGGTCGAGTCTTCCCACAAAGAGCTGCCACCGCACCTGGGAGCGAGGAGATGCCACATCCCCAGGGGTGTCCTCAGCCATATTACTGGTACCGCAGCGCAGAAATTGGGATTTCAAACCTGGAGGGAAAAAGAAAAAGAAGAGTTGAGCTCCTTAAAAACACTGCAGGTCTATGGAAGACCCTCCTTTTTACCCAAAATGCTTGTGTCAGGATGTGGATGCTGAAGCAGAACCTCAGTTCATCCCTGTTTTCTGTTTTCCCAGCGCGGGGAGAAGGGACCACGATTCATCCCATCGGAAAACCCCCTATTCCAGGGGTAACCTCAGCCTTGGGGTTCAGGGCCATCCCACACCCACGGCATTCCCTGGGGGAAACGCTGCCTGGGCTGAACCTGGGTCGTTGGCAGAGTGAAAACTTGCCCCCCCAACCTTTTTTTTTTTTTTATTTCCACAAAATCCCTAAGAAAAGGGAAAAAAAGCCCAGGGCTTGGGGTGCTGGCAAAGCTCAGCATCCCTGATGCTACTCACCGTTGTGAAGTCCAGGGTGCAAGAAGGATGGTCCCCAAAAAGCTGGATGGCATCCGGAGCGGGGTGTGTTTGGCCCAGGAGGAGTGGGAAGGGGCTCATGGCATCTTCCTCCTCCCGTGATGAGCAGATCCAGCCATCAAAGGGGAAAAATGGCTTTATTCCTGCTGTTTTGGGGCTCCCTGGAACAAAGACCCTGTTTCTGCCGTGGCGTGTCCTGTCCTGGCCAAACCCAGGATCTTCTCACGAGTTGGCAGGATGAGAAAGTGAGTGGAGATTTCGGAACCGTGCCTGCCCTCGGTGGGGAGCAGGGGCCACCCCGGCACCGTGGGGCTCTGTTTGTGCCCCCCCAAAATATCTCAGCCCCTAAACCCTGCGTCACACCCCGTGTCCCTCCGGGGAAGGGAGGACTCGGGGCTCAGCAGGGGACAGAGACACAGAGTGTTGGGATTATCCCCAATAACCACAAAAAGACCCACCAAATCCCAGCCCTTAACAAGCCCCCGAGGGGGAAACACTTGCCCTGAGCTCTGCCAAACCACTCGAGGTGCTTCCCCTCACCCTTTGGGCACCCATTCTGTGGCTCAGCACCTTCTGCCACTTCCCTCTGTTCAAGAACAAGCTGCCCAAGGTCCCCACCTGCTGATGCAAACACAACTATAAAGATTAACTCGAGGCAGATGAACGTTGAGCCTTTTTCAGCATGTAAAAATACTCCAAATAGTAGGAGGAAATCAGTTGAAACCTCTACCCAGAGGAGGGATGTGCAAAAGGAGCTGCCCCCGTTGGTGGACCCAGCACCAATCCTTCCCTGCCCGCACAAAGCTGCTTTATCCCTCCAAAGCAAGAAAAACAAGCCCTGGACAAAAGCACCCGAGGGCTGAGCTGCCACCACAGCAGCTTTTGGAAGGGACACGTGCAATGAAGTCAATAAAGAACCAAAAAAAAAAAAAAAAAGTTTTATTAAACGGCAACAAAACCAGAAAAACATCCCCCTTGTTTGGACCATGCCCACGGGGCCCACTCCTCTCCCTCCCCGACCTCAGTCTTCCCCCAAGTGCCCAGTGGCATCCGAGGTGTCCCCTAGGGCTTCTGGCTGAGGGTGGTGATGGAGGAGTTGGCCAAGCTGTTGCCCAGCGTGATGAGCGTGGTGCCAGCCCCCCCTGGCAGCACACCCTGGGGCAGCAAGTGTCTGTTGGCCAGAGCCTCCCTGGTATGGATGATGGTGCTCCCGTCGTCCACCACGGAAGGAACCCTCCCCAGGGGCTTGGAGACACAGTGTTGGGATTATCCCCGATAACCACAAAAAGACCCACCAAATCCCAGCCCTTAACAAGCCCCCGAGGGGGAAACACTTGCCCTGAGCTCTGCCAAACCACTCGAGGTGCTTCCCCTCACCCTTTGGGCACCCATTCTGTGGCTCAGCACCTTCTGCCACTTCCCTCTGTTCAAGAACAAGCTGCCCAAGGTCCCCACCTGCTGATGCAAACACAACTATAAAGATTAACTCGAGGCAGATGAACGTTGAGCCTTTTTCAGCATGTAAAAATACTCCAAATAGTAGGAGGAAATCAGTTGAAACCTCTACCCAGAGGAGGGATGTGCAAAAGGAGCTGCCCCCGTTGGTGGACCCAGCACCAATCCTTCCCTGCCCGCACAAAGCAAGAAAAACAAGCCCTGGACAAAAGCACCCGAGGGCTGAGCTGCCACCACAGCAGCTTTTGGAAGGGACACGTGCAATGAAGTCAATAAAGAACCAAAAAAAAAAAAAAAAATTTTATTAAACGGCAACAAAACCAGAAAAACATCCCCCTTGTTTGGACCATGCCCACGGGGCCCACTCCTCTCCCTCCCCGACCTCAGTCTTCCCCCAAGTGCCCAGTGGCATCCGAGGGGTCCCCTAGGGCTTCTGGCTGAGGGTGGTGATGGAGGAGTTGGCCAAGCTGTTGCCCAGCGTGATGAGCGTGGTGCCAGCCCCCCCTGGCAGCACACCCTGGGGCAGCAAGTGTCTGTTGGCCAGAGCCTCCCTGGTATGGATGATGGTGCTCCCGTCGTCCACCACGGAAGGAACCCTCCCCAGGGGCTCCACCATCCCCAGAGCATGGCCAAGGGCCATGGTGCTCTTAGCCAGGCTGACCTTCTCCCCCACGTGTCCCAGGGCTCCATCACCCTTCACCGTGGCCACCGTTGAAGTCAGGATGACGGTCTTGGAAGCTGTTTGCAGGACAGGTCCCACCTTGGAGTGTACCAGGCTGCTGGGAGGGCTGGGGGCACTGGCCAGGGAGGAGGTGGAGGCAAAGGTGACAGCGCCAGTGGGAGAGCTGGAGGAGGAGGAGGTGGAGGAAGGCTGGATGGCCGGCAGTTTGAGAGGGACAGAGGTAGCCTCAGCCATCACAGATTTGGTAAGCGCAGACAGCTTGGCGTCCGACATGACGTAGAGGGTCTTCATGGGGCTGGTGGTGGTCACTGTGGAGAAGGGGAGAGGGGGATCAGTGGCCGGGGGGATGTGGTGGCCACCCTGGGCTGCAGCCCCTGGCCACTGTGATGGAGTCACAGGCTTTCAGACTGAACAGAAAGACCTGGCCATGTCTGCTTCCCAGAGCCAGACCCCAAACCAAACCCACAGCCCGGGCAAGGAAGGCACAACAACCAAACTGGGGCACCACCAGCACCACTTCCCTCCTCTCAATGCCCACATCACCCAAGGAAGCCTCTCTCTTCCTTCAGTGTCTGAGCTTCTCCCCCAGAACGTCCCCTTCTGCTGGGACACTGGGACAGGACATCGTGGCTCCATCGTGCCCCATCCTACCTGCCACAGCCCACACTGAGCTCACGCTGCTCTCTGCAGCCCGGCTCAAGGGAAGCTCTTCCTCATCTCTGGCATCTCCAGCTCGGTCCCAACATTGGGGGTGCTCAGACCTTCATCATGCTCCACCCCAGGAGATGGCTAAAAGACTCAAGGCTTTGTGAAATGAAGCCCTCTGAGCTCGACGGCAATGGCAGAGGTTGGATCGTGGTGGTTACCCCAACCAGGTTGGCTCCTCAGCTGCATCAATGGTAGTCACAGCCCAGAGAGCAACAGAGGGGACAGAAACTTCACCAAAATCTAATCACCAAGTCTAGAAGAGCTCAAGGGATGGGAAAAAGCCTGGAGACCTGCTGGTGATCCCTCAGGATCCCACACAGAGGAGCGGAGAGTGGCAGATCCAGCTATGATGGGTCACCAGGCACCCAGCACCACAAATCTCTGATGTAGTGACATCAAAGATGCACCACAGTGTCCCTCGCACCCACCAGCGGTGACAGCACACCACCAACACCACCAACATGGTGTGGGACTCTCCAAAATGAAGTGGCTCAAGCGGGGAGGGCATGGAGCGAAGGCTGACGGCCAACTGTCCAAACAGGATGGGACACCAATCCATCCTGGCATCCCAGATGGCTGGA